ATCGTGAGCAGCTGTATGCTTTTATTTTTTTCTGTCAGGCTGTCTGAGCGCTCCTCCTCCTCTGTCCGGTGCTGGTGGGTGAAAATCCTCCACCTCAGACGTTCAGAGATGTAACTATCTGTGATACTGTGGTCACTTTCCATGTAGCATCAATTATGCTAATGGTAGCTGCCTGTCACGTTCTCTCGTCCTGGCCACACCTCCGCTCTCTAACCCCCCTTCCCCACCCACACCCCCCTCCCCTACCCACTTTGATGCATTTTTCAAATTTCGCCTTGGGGCGGAGTTATCTTTTCACAGGGGGGGGGGTAAGTTACACTTTAAGGGGCTTAAGCTGCACATAGTCCTGTCATAAAACAATTTCAGATAACTGGAATATACTGTAAGTGTGGTGAAGCCAAATAAGTGTAACATCTGCCTGCCGTACAATGTGCATCTGCCTGCTGAACTTATCTGCTGCTGCTCTGCTGTGCGCTCATCTTCATCATCTTCATCATCTGAGCAGAAGCCGACTTTACATTAGCAAGATGGATTTATGACTGAACGTCCACGTCTTTTTTATAATCATCTCTGTGAGTAACAATACATAAAAAAACTGTTTTTTTCTCCGACATTTGTGCGTGAAAAACTACAGTTGTTAAAGCTTCGCTCTGCGTGACGAGCAGCAGGAGGGAGGAGGAAATGATCTCGTGACACGACGTAACTTTTCTACAGCAGGAGGAGGACATTTTGAGGATTTATTCTCTATTCGTAGTTTAAAACACTAGAATTTCTTCATTATATTTTGAACTCCTGCTCAGGTGTCTCTGCACTCACAGCCATGCTGACACAGGTGTGATGATGTAATGACGGTAGAGGGTAAATTTCTACCGTAGGTCAACTTCATACCGTTTCTACCGTCTACCACATACACTGCACAGCCCTAGTTGACAGATAAATGGTAAATGGACTGTACTTATACAGCACCTTTCTATCCATCCAGGACACTCAAAGCTCTTCACACTACAATCTGTGTCCTCATTTACCCATTCACACAGCAAAGCTAACATGTACAGTCATCTATGGAGACTAAACAGTGCCAATCACATTTATACACTGATGGGGCACATCAGAGGCATTAGGGGTAAAGTGTCCCCAGCTGAACGGGGGATCGAACCGGTGACCTCCCGGCTCCAGGACGACTCTCCTAACCACTCTGCCACAGCCGCCCCAGATAAGATTTGGCAAGTTTTTCATGGGTAAAATCCACGTCCTCAGCTCTGCTGCTCAATACATTTTCCTAACAAAAGCAACACCATTTGAGGGGAAATATAAAAAAAACTTTCCAAAGGTATAAAGTTTATTGCCAAGAAGCATTGTTAAAACAAGAAATAATCAGCCAAACACGAATTGAGGAAGCACAACTCCTTAGTGGTTAGCTCTGATGCCTCATAGCAAGAAGATCCTGGGTTTGATCCTCAATTTGGGGTCTTTCTGTGTGTTGTTTACATGTTCTCATGTATGTGGGGTTTTGTCCAGGTAGTCTGGTTTCCTCCTACAAACAAAAAACATACATGTTGGGTAGGGTTGAGCAAAATCATATCGTGTGCAGTTAATGGTCAGAAAAGCCCTAAGTGATTATTTTTTGACACTTTATGATTAATATGATTAATGGTAGAAGGCAGTCTTAACTGGAGGCTGTCCGCTCGATGCTCCTCTCTTCTTTAAATATGACAAACGTTAAAAAACAAAAGTTCTGTAATTTATTTATTATAACTCCGGTTTTACTTGTTCTATCAATACAATTAAATAATCAGTGTTCATTCTGAAGTCTGTGCTTTTGAAACAGTTTGGAACAGATTTTACGGAGAGCAAATCTTTCCCTCTAGAGTGGTTTAAACTGGTCATGTGACCAGGACATGCAGGAAATGAATCATCATATTAACGACTAAATACCACAATTATTTGTGATTGTTTCATCGCCCAACTCTAATGTTGGGTTTCCTTCAGAGTTCTCAAACTTTCTCACAACAAAAACATTGTACAAGTCTTTGAGATCACTTTAGTTTGCCTGCTTGTTTCGTCAGGGTTGATAGTTCCCGCGGTCACTGTGTGAGACGGGTCACAAGTCATTTGATACTCTCTTAAACAGTTAGTTTTTACAACCTTTCAAGC